CCTTTAAGGGTTCTTCACGGCTGTGTTCATGCAGTGCTGCCAGAACCAAGCAAGAGCCACAAAATCATGTGGGCTCCAAGCCCTCACTATGTGGTCATTCACAGAAGATATGCCCGGCCCTGCGGTCCAACATTCACATTATACTCAAAAGCCAAGCAATCGAAGAGCTATCAAGTATGCTTTCTTTATTCTTAAAGCCAAACAACTTTCATGGTGATTTTCTGGTTCCTTGAATACACACCAGCTTGGACAGTTTAATAATAGACTGAATAAGAATGAGTATTTTGATTTCAGCAGCTCTATAAACCACTGGAGACAAACACAATCTCTTTGAATGCTCCTTTGGAGGGGTTATAGCATGCCAGTGCTGCCTCGTGTCCTGTAAATCTGTTATCCCGACAGCTCTGCTAGTAAAACTGGCATTAAACCCGTTAATGAAAGGTCACTGCACAAGGATGAGAAAGCAGCCAGTTTGTAAATGTTAATGCTGATTATTTTTTAAATGCAAATAAAACATCCTACTTTGTTTTATAGTTCTTTCCTTCCATAGTTGTAAAAACGAGAACATTTAAGAAAAAAAGAAAAACCCGAGTCATGTAATACAGCTCCACACCGGTGATGACGGGGTGGATCTAGCGGTTCCCGCGTCCCTGGCGGCCGCACTGCCCCGAGCCCTCCCGGGCGTGACGGCTCCCCGTCACCCCTCAGAGCACGGGCAGCGCCTGCACTCCACTGCGGAAGAGCCAGTGCTGCTCGGCGTGTGCTCCTCCATCCTGCTCTGCCCAGATCACGCTCATCACCCGTGCTCCCAGGCTCGGACCCAGTGGTGGGGAAAGCTCTTCCCGCGTGGACCGGACCCTTCTCTTTCCCTCACCTCTGCTCCATCGCGCGCCCTGCTCTGGGCAGAGGGCACTGCTGACCATGGCCTGCTGAGGTGTGGGGGCTCCTTCCAGTGCGCACACCCATCCTGCAAGTAACACCCGTGTGTGCTGCACCAGGCCACATGGGGACCGCCACATGGAGGGGGAAAGGCTCACAGAGCCACCTCTCACTAGCTCAGTGAGCAAACACAGCTGTGACCAACGAAGGACAAGCAGGGAAGTCATCTTGCCGGCATCATCTGCACCATTCTTGACTTCTACGGGGTGATTTGCAAGTGTCAATAAGAGAAAGTCGGCATGCCTGGAATAAGGAATTAATTTAATTCTGTGTGAAATGCAATAAATATATAAACCAGTGACTTTGCCAGAACTCATCAAAAGCCAAGATCCACCAGCAGACGTCTCCAAATCCACGCACTGCACAACTCCACCTGGCCCTCCGGTCCCCGCCCACAGCACAGGCTTCCTGTCCCATCGCTGTCGCCTGCAGGCCGACAGTTACTCTACAACACTATGGCCGCTGTGATTATCTTTTCCATTTGCACTTTGCTCCGGGTTTGGTAAGAACTGATGTAAATACAACTGGGGCCAAGGAAAAACTAGAAGAAAACAACCAGGCATGGCGAGGCACACATCTGCAGTCCCAATACTCCAGGGCACAAGTCTGAGCCCAGCCTGGGCAACTCATCAACTTAGTGAGAACCTGTCTTACAAAATATAGATATATGTGTATGTGTGTATATATGTATACATACATACGTATATTATGTATATATGTATATATATATGTATATATGTATACATAATATACATATTATGTATATACGTATGTATATATATGTACCTATATACACACATTCATCTATTTATCTGTATCCATATCTGTCACGTGGCTCACTGTGAAGGCCTCAGTACAAGGAGGGGAGGAAAAGAAGGAAGAGGTGGAGAGGTGGACGAGGTAGGGTTGAGGCGGAGGAGGGGAAACGGGGGAGGAAGCCAGCCCTGTGCCACCAGGACCTGACCTGAAGCGTGGTGAACTCTGGGCGTGCCCATCCAGCATGGCACTGACACTCAATTCAGCACCAGCTAGAATACCTCACAGACACCCCACACACCTGGCTTCTCAGATCCTGACACCCTGTCCTCAAGATTTTTGTCCCTACCCTACCTTGGTCCTACAATCCCCCTCTTCCATGGTACCCCGGCTTCTCTCCCAAAGTTAGAGATGGGATTAAACCCAAGACTTTCACATTGAGCTACATCCCAACCCCTTGCCATCCCCAGGGTCTAAATCACTAAGTTGCCCAGGCTGGGCTTGAACTTGCGATTCTCCTATCTCGGTCTCCCAGAGTGCTGGGATTACAGACATAATCCAGCTAAGAAGACAATATTCTAAAGGAATTGCTTTGTCTTTTTATTTATTGGAAGGAGCACCAATGACTTCTGTGACACTAACAAGGCATTTAATAGGGTTGTGCTGTCAGAGGCACCACCGGTTGGGAAATGGGAGTTTGGAACGCCTCCAAGTTACCACAGTCCAATCTCTCACCCCTCTTCCAGAAGAGTCCCATTCAGAGGACACCCCTGTTATTTGAGCAGACTTCGGGAGGAGGCCAACTGTAAACCAACGATCACTGGTGACTTTTTAACATCACAGCCATTTGAGGCTGAGATACTTTTAGGGCAAAAAGGCAGGCTGCTCCTGCTGTACCCGACCTGGGGGGACAGGGTTGTCCCGGGGATTCTGGCCCATCAGCTGGCCCCAAGGCAGGAACAGTGTGCTGGAGGAGGCATGCTGCTCGCCTTGCCAGCCAGAGGCCGAGGCAGGAAGAGACACAGCAGAGGTTGCCCTGCAAGGCCACGTGCCCAAGGCCCAGCTCCTCCAGCAGGCGCTCCCAACAGCACTGTCCCCCCAAGTCTCAACAGAGGGCACAGAGGCTGGGGGGTCTTCAGATCTGAGCAGTTCTCCAGGCTGCACAAGCCCAAGTGTCCTCCTGGGCGTCCAGGAGGCTGTGTGCATATGTGCAGCTAGGCAGTGGCCGTGGAGAGCCACAAGGCCTCCTCCCTGGGTGCTGGTCCCACCTGGGGACTAGGCAGCCTCCCTGTGGATGCCAGGGCCTGGCACACATGAGGCCTGTGGGGTAGGAGGAGACTGTGGGCTTCAGGAAACCTCTGTCCAGCCACTAGCTGCTCCAAACTGAAGTGACAGAGACCTCTGCGGCCGCCGGTGCAGAGAATACAGACTTCACAGAGCTGACACAGCAGCCACTAAGTAAATGCACAGATCACAAGACAGAAGTCACAACCTTGTGGGGCCATCTGCTTTCTGATGTTGACACGTTCACATCATCCAAGATGTCTGCTATCCAAAAAAATTATAAAGCACGCCAAACAAAAACAGGAAGAAGCAGTCAACAGGAACTGTGTCCAAAGGAAATCGCATTAAATATTTAGGTAAAGAATGAAATCATGGGGCTGGGGATTTAGCTCAGCAGTTCTGCCGCCTGCCTTGCAAGCCCAAGGACCCGAGTTCAATTCCCAGTAAAAAAAAAAAAAAAAAAAAAAAAAAAAAAAGAATGAAATCATACCTTAACAAACACTATCAACAAAGAAAAACATAGAAAAATGCAAATTCTTAATAACCCGGGTGAAAAATTCATGACTACGGTGCAGCAACAGATGTGAGAAGAATCAGCCGATGTGGAGAAAAGGGAACCCTCGCCACCAACCACGCCAAAGCGCACAGGAGCAGCGGGACACCAACAGATCAGACAACACAGATGACACTGCAAGAAAACCATCAAGACTCAGAAGAAATTCCATGTAATGCAGAGACTGGCTTTACAGCATCTCACAAAGCAAAGGCTGGGGGCACAGTAGGCCATTGTGGCTCACTGACTGTGAGAACACAGCCCAGATGGCCTGTGGGAGAGACTGTCACCGTTCACAAGCGTTACTCAAGGGGAAAGCCAGAAGAACCAGCCTAAAAATGTACAAATGGGGTACAAGATGCAACATGAAGAAATCAAAATCTTTCACATTTCTTTTAGAAAGCCTAGGAGATACAGTGGCAGGAAATAGCACGTTTCAAATAACAAGTGAAAGTAACAAAACGCCTAGATGAGACTGACTTAAGAAATGCGCAAAGACTAACAAGATACTACAAAACTGCTGAAGAACACAAAAACTGTCTTGAACAAAGTGGGAAATGTAACGCACTTCCGTTCAAAGACCTCGTGTGTCCCGGCAGAAGCACAGCCCGGCATACCACCTGCAGTAATGTGTCAACATCTACAGAACGGCAATGAACGGACGGACGAGCTAGTGACTCCAGTCTCAGGGATCGGCCCTACAGCCGGCCCTGCTCTCCAGAGAAAGGAGCGTGCACACGTGTCCCTGCAAGCAAGCGTCCGTAACACCGAAGGCGGGAGGGAGGCGGCCCGACCATGGCACGCCCGTCAAGTAAATCGTGCTGCGTCCACAAACAGAACACAGTGCTGCCGGGTACGGAACGAATGTTTCTGTGTACCAAAGTTCCACAGTGGCTAGCAGTTTACTATTGAAATCACGTCTTTTTTTAGGGTAGGAAAAAATATTATCAGTATTATAGTATGATCTTCCCATAGAAGCAGAACTCCAAATTCCTGTGGGCAAGTATTAGCAGTGACCTCATAATCTTATTTAATGATGCATTTCATCTGGGCCCATTCTTGTGAACAGTTCTAGCAACATCCTTCATTAATATAGAAGTGGAACATGCACGTGGTCTTACAAGCTAAGAGATGTGTGTCAGACGTAAAGTAAAGCCACTCTCCCCACGGAGTCCCGCTTCAGAGGCGTGTCCGGTGACATCGGTTTTCATTTTCATTGGCAGCAGTAATTCTGCACCTCTGTTTTTTGTTTTATCGTCGTTAAGCAGTGCCGAGTGACCCTGTATCGTCAGAAACTGAAGTAACTGGGGGAGAGTATTCTGTCTGACCCTGCCCTCCATGTTCATGACTTACAGATCGTGACCCCGTATTTCGACTTCCCAACTTTCACAGCATCTCTCGACTCCCCGCCCTGTGAGAGACCCGAGCATGGCGAACCCCAGAACTAGGGGTGACGGAGTGCGCTCACCGTGCTCACACAGCAGCTTCGTATTCGAGTCCTTGCAGGTGACCAGATTGCTGAGCAAGGCGACCACACTCTGCACGGTGTTACCCAGAACGCTCTCCCGATGCCCCTGCAAGAGACCACAGTTCCGTGAGGACCGTGCAGAAACGCAGCTGCATCTCCACCAGGACAGGTCAGCAGGGGAGCGCCACCTGCAGGACTGCAGCAAGGCCCACCCCAGGCCCAGGCAGGGGGCGACCCAGGCTGAGGGGCAGCCACGCAGCCTCTGTACGTGCAGGACAACAGAGGGACCAGGAGCGCAGGGAGAGGGACGCAGGAGACCATGCCATGTCTGAGGCCACCGAGGCAAAGTGCCCCAAAGAGGACACCTTGTTGCCACGCTAGATCCCAGCCCTGCTTCTGGCCGCCTCTGTCCTGACACCTGTGTGATGTGGCTACAACTCGCAGTGCCGTGCTCCAGCGCAGGGAGCTACGAGGGGACTGAAGGGTACATGTCGCTTTCCTCCACATTCCCCATCACGCACCAGAGAAAAACAGACCTGCAGAGAGAGGCTAAGGGAAACAAGTCTCTATTTCCTGTTTCAGACACAAATAAGATGATTTCTTGGAAATTTTAAAGGATCATAAAAAGTCACTTGCTTTTCTCTCCATCTGATTTACTAAAACTTAAACACAGACTGTAGGTGAAATGATAAAATTTCGTACAATCTAGAAGTGCAGTCCGAGGCACAGGAGTAGGCTGGGCGCAGCGACTCTGGTGCAAAGGGTTCACGCCAGGTCCTGCGAAGAGCAAGAGCGGAGAGATCCGGCCTGGCCTGCAGGTCCTTCCCGGTCCCCTGACCTTGGGACTCTGCCTGGCTCCTGCCCGAGAAGGGACCACGAGGCCCACCCGGCCTGTCCCTACGAGTCTTCCCTTCTCTCCTGGCACACAGAAAGTCTTCTGTATAGTACCTTCGGGGCAGCTCATATCAACAGAAATTTCATTTCGCTGTTTCTGAAATAATTTCAGCTTCAGAGTGGAGCTGTGAAGACAGCGCAGCATTTCACGGCCTCTCCCTCAGCTCTCCCAAGCTAAGCCAAGGTGAACACCACCCTAACCGCGGCACAGGCATCCAAACCAAGACAGAACAGCCGTAGTCACCCAGTCACTGGCTTCACTCAAGTTGTGTTCCCACTCGCCCCGGTCCTGCTCTAGCATCTGCCCTGGGTCACCACTGCATTAGGATGGTCATGTCTGCCACAGATATCACAGGCGCCCACTGTCCTGGGTTCCTGGCTTACTCTGACAAAAAAAATGGAAAAGAACAAAACACCAATCCTGCCACACCTCAAGAAGGCAACACTCGCTAAACACAGGAAGTAATCCCAGCATCTGTCAGAAGGTGACTGGCTCTCAGGCAGGAAACGGAACCAGAAGAGGAGGACGGGAAAGGCTGTGATGTCAGCAGGGCCGAGGGCCGTGATCCTCTGCCAGCCTCGCAATGTCTGCTGCCACTGCGTTTCGAGCCATGGCACTCGTGGCCACTCAGTGCAGCAGGGCGTGGGTGACACCCGTTTCACACGTCCCTCACACGTCCATTTCATCCCAGTGTTCGCTGTGCACCTAATGTCTGTCCTAGCAGATCCAGGAGAGCCTCTCATAAAAGCAACAGCACTGGGAATGCTTTTGCCAGTAGACCTTTAATCTTTAAATCAACTCAGTTATCTACACCTTGATCCAATTTCGGCACTGTCCATTTTCCTCAAATCACCTCTGTCCAGCTTTATAACCTACTGCGGTGGAGCTGGCCCAGCTTCCCCCAGACTCGCCACAGCTTTGCCCATGCCCCTCGCATGCCTGCTCTCGGCCTGTCTCTGCCTTTTGCTTCACGTAGGTCACTGCAGGTGCGCAGACCCCACTGCGCTCTGGGCAGACAGCGGGATGCCTCTCCCTGCCCACCTGTGACGAGAAAGGACCACCAGGCCTGCCTCACTGCCCTGCCGCTCTCTCAGTGTCCCCATGACCTTTGGGACGGCATAGTCTCCATAGCTGGACTCAGTGAGAAGGAAAAGAGAGGCCAGGAGTCCTGACTCGGGGTTACAGTCGCTGATCCAGGCTTCAGGGACCCCAAGTCGCCCGCCTGTCCATGGGGAGCCGCCTCGCATGCTGTGGGTCCCGCCAGCTGGTCTCTGCTGGACTGGAAAGCGGTCTGCTTTCCACTACCAATGCCTAAAAGACCCTGACTTCAGCAACCTGCTCAAGGGCACTTCTGTGGTGACCACCAAAGCTGAGCGGTTGCTGTCCCGGTTCGGGCCGATGACTGCGGAAGCGATGGGCTGCCCCGATTTCACCTGGTGGCTCCCAAGCTGGAGGAGGAAGACTGATAAGTGTCAAGATGATGCAACGCGGCATTCATGACGAAGCAGCTAGCGACACACAGGGAATGCGCCCTCTGAGAAAAAGCAAAGCCAATCCATACTGTTTTCTGGTCCTGCTTGGTAAAATGACAGATCGTCCTTCAAAAGCCCCTTCGACAAACACAGGTCGGTCTTGCTGGGACGAGTCCACTTGTACTCAGGCAGTGCTGGCCGCTGCGCCCGTTCTGCAACACCCTAACAGCGTCTCACGTGCTCACGCCAGTGCTCAGCGCCGCCCGTCCTCACAGGGCAAGCGCCACTCGCCGAGACCGACGTTTCCTGTACCAGTGAGCAACCAGGGGGCGTGGAGGGAGAACAGACTGCCCGGAGACGGGACAGTCCGGCCACCGAGAGGCCCGAAGGGGCCGTTTCTCCACCACGAGTGCCCAGCCACCAGGGAGACTCGGGAAAGAAAGAGCCACCATACTTGTCATTTAGAATATCAGCTTAAGAGAAAAGCACAGGAGAAGAGCAGCCTGGGCCTGGAATGGTCTCAGGAGAGGCAGTTTTTCTCAGGGAAAGGGGAAGGACATGGCCAGACATGACACCCTCCACTGCTCTAAACTTCATGTTGTTTAGCCATTCGATTCTCACACAGCCTGTGAGCTTCTGCCCCAGATTAACCATCCCCTCCTCACACAGCCTGAGTGCCTTCTGCCAAGCAGTGTAATCATTTATGTGCTTTGGCCTCATTTTAGCCTCACTCCTCAGAGCCTGTGCACTTTTGTCCCACAGTTCAATCACTCACTCCTGACCAGGTCGCCCAAAAGAGCCAAGTCTCCACCTCTGTCACCTCTGGACACTAAGATCCCAGGGACAGATCCAGCCTCAGCGTGGCGGCCGTGGTTGTCATGCTCCTCCGGCGTAGGCGCCTGTGCAGAATGAGGGAAGCGCTATCCGGCAGCCATGCTAGACAGCGCTCCCGTCTGTGCTGGAAATTGCTAGAAACGTGGCTCTCAGTTCTCTTCTTGGTTGCTCGCCTCCTAAGTAGCACTGATGAGGCAACCCCAGGGCAGAGCAGCTGTCCCTGCCTCCGCGAGGACCTGGTTCTCCAGGGGGGCGAGACAGCCACTGCCTAAACTGGACCACAATCCCCGGAGGGAGGGAGTCAGGCGAGGAGCAGCCGAGAAGGTATAGACCAGATGGGAATGAATTCACTTAATCAGAGGAGCCACTTCCTCTCTCTCGCAGCAACTCGAATAAGGCTTGTTCTTGTTCACAACCACATGTGCTTACAGGGATAAGAAGTACGGAGACACATCCTGCTTCCTTCTCAGAGTTGGCAGGGGTGGCAGGGACCGCAAGCCGGTGCACCTTCAGCCCACTGCAGGAGAAGGGCACAAGCAGGAGGGCGGGACAACTCTAACCAGAGACAGCCTCGTCAGATGCAGCTTTTCCCCCTCCAAATGGAGACCCAAGAGCCCAGATGCAAGGACGGCAAGAGCAGGCTGGTGAGACCCGACATCAACCGCTGCAGTCAATGACTGGAGGAGTCCACACCACGCAGGAGGGGACCAACCTATGAGGGGACCGCAGGGACAGGGCAGGGCCAGGCCTGGCCAGCGTCAGGTCCGTATCCTTGGGCAACAGTGGCCGGATTGAGGACACGGAGCTTCCTGCCACCCTCAGAGGCACAGAAGGGGCCGCAATCTCCATACAGGCAAAGACCAAGGTCACAAGGACAAGCACCCCTCACCAAGCTCAGCAGAGTAGAGGGAATAGTCACCACCAACCCCTGACCACCACACCTCACGGCCCTTGAATGGGCCACAGTAGGGGCGCCGCCCGGGCAGCATGCTCAGGACCAGCACCCAAGGCACCCAGGTAATCAGGGAATTAAAAGGGATCTGGGGCACAAGAGGGGAAGAGCCCCCAACGTGCAGGCTTGGGGCTGCTGTGGAGCCCCACCTCCCCACCACCTCAGGATCCCAGTCTGGAGCCTGACTGGTCCCCTGTGCCTGAGACACATCACACCTAGGAAGCCAGCAAGGCACAGGCAAGAGCACCTATAAATACTGACACGCACACCGGAGTCGCCACCACCAGCCACGCTTTTCAGATGGTGTTGCACCAGCTGGGGTGTGTAGGAGGAGACCGATCACCCAATGGTGACACCCTTCGAGGCCACGCCATGGACCCTGTGGTGAAATGTCTGAACTCATCCACTGTCGCGAGCCGCGACTTCAGGACCCTGCCAGCAGGTCCTAAACCTTAAAGGACCGAGAGATGGGAAGCACCTTTGCTCGCGCGCTCGCTTACAGAACCTCTTCCTTTTATACTCTCCAGCTGCATGGGAGCGAGGGCTGCACGGGAGTGAGAGTACCACCCACACATTCCAGAGGGAAACAATAACAACCATTATGGGTTACACCTGCTAGGCAATAGATCAGATCACCAGCTGAACTAGCCCATTGCTATAGCGATGGCACGTCCACACTGCTCGGGTGAGTCACAGGTCAATCCACCTCAGGATCCCAGTCTGGAGCCTGACTGGTCCCCTGTGCCTGAGACACATCACACCTAGGAAGCCAGCAAGGCACAGGCAAGAGCACCTATAAATACTGACACGCACACCGGAGTCGCCACCACCAGCCACGCTTTTCAGATGGTGTTGCACCAGCTGGGGTGTGTAGGAGGAGACCGATCACCCAATGGTGACACCCTTCGAGGCCACGCCATGGACCCTGTGGTGAAATGTCTGAACTCATCCACTGTCGCGAGCCGCGACTTCAGGACCCTGCCAGCAGGTCCTAAACCTTAAAGGACCGAGAGATGGGAAGCACCTTTGCTCGCTCGCTCGCTTACAGAACCTCTTCCTTTTATACTCTCCAGCTGCATGGGAGCGAGGGCTGCACGGGAGTGAGAGTACCACCCACACATTCCAGAGGGAAACAATAACAACCATTATGGGTTACACCTGCTAGGCAATAGATCAGATCACCAGCTGAACTAGCCCATTGCTATAGCGATGGCACGTCCACACTGCTCGGGTGAGTCACAGGTCAATATGGCTGTGCTCATGTCGTGTTCCTTTACGATGCTGTCCATAATCCACCAGTTGCCAACACACACAGTGGACCTGATTCACACGCCTGCCGCCATGCTGTGGGGACACTTAATAAACACGACACAAGCGCACTAATAAAATGCAGCACTTCCCACTGAGAATTAGAATCACAGGAGCCGAACTCTAGTGTTGGGCAACAGAGACGAAACAACTTCATCAGAATGTACAGCTTGGACAGACGGAGTCGGGCACACCGGGCCCTGAAGAAAGAGCGTCGCCACACTGCCGGGGAGCAGCACGTAGACCCCAAGGACACCAGAAGGACATGCGTGAGGAGTGGCCAGTCTTTCCCCGCAGCTCCCACAGAAAGGGCCTGAAGCCTTGCCCTCAAGTCTGAAGACGGTGGTGACTCCGTATAAATGATCGTCACTGTGGCCCTGTGCACAAGCGCTGAGAACAAGCACACAAAGTGTCCCCTGGGGACAAGCAGACAGAGAAAACATGAGACACAGATATGGGCAGCGAGGCACTATCCAGCCGCTAGAATGGAAGAGATCAGCAGTTTGTCAGCATGAACAGACCTGCGTGGCGTGCTGGGTGAACATGCTAAGCCTGATGCAGAAAGAAAAATATTACATGTTATCATTTCTCTGTGTGATCTCTCCTTTAGGAAACAACAGGTCAGATATACAGAAAAAGAAAATGAAACAGTGGTTACCATAGGCATGGCGAAAATTGGGAGAGAGGTCAAAGGATGTGAAATCGCACTCACGGAAGTGGCCTGGCCGGCACCTGGTGTCAGTGGACAGACTGCCCCACCACCAATGAGGGAAGGAGGACTTTTATCCCGCTGGGTTGGCTCTTTCGTTCTGCTTTGGCTTTGATGCTGCCACCTCTCCTGGTCTCGCCTACACCTGCCCTCTGCTGCCCGCCGACCCCACAGCCACTGCCCACGAGCAGGTGCCAGTCTCCAGCCTGGCCTCACCATACTCCTTAAAGCACAGGGACTTCGAGCCCAGGCTTAGCTCTGGGTCTGCGGGGCCCAGGGTCACTGTCCTGTTATCACCTGGTGTCCAGGGCCCTGATGCAATCTACAGCCCTGAAAGGTGAGACTTGTCACAAGAGTGGTGGGGTGGCAGAAGCAAGAACGCTGTCACCCTGAAGATTTGATCCCAGAGCAGCAGTGACTGAGCAAGCCTGAGCCTCATGCTGAGCCCACAGAGAGACGCACCAGCCGCTTGCCCCAGAAGACAGGCTAAAGCTCAGATGTCTGAGTGGGGCCTTCCCGGGCTAGAAGGAGCTGGGGCCAGGCAGCCGTGCCAGGTGTGCCAAGGCAATCCACGCCAGCATGGCAGGAACAGCCAGCTCTGCTCCCTCCACACCAGCATGCATGATGCCACCGGGAGAGGCAGGTACACAGCAAAGCCCCTCCTCCACCCCCACCCTTCTGAATGGACAGGAGACTGGACTGAGACCCTCATCCAGTATGACCCGCCAGCAGCAGCTAATGAAGTCACAATCAGTGACCTACTGCAGCCAGCACACCAGAAGTGTGGGCCAACGGGCACCATTTGCTGAGCAGTGTGCCGAGCTTGGTTTCTGAACCCCCAGTGGGCGGTAAGCCAGGGACGCTCTTCTGGCAGCCTATTGCCCCATACACTGTCCCAGCCCCTTTCAGTACCCAGGCTTCTGCGGGATGCTCCCAGCACGGCTCTGGGCTTGGGGACAGGTACAGCACAGGGGAAAAGGGAGGCCCTTGGACCAGTGTCCTGGGAACCATTTGCTCCTCGCCGTGTCTCCCTGCAGTGATGACAGACGGGCCATCTGTACTCAAGACCAGCCCGGGGGGAGGGTGGACGAGAAGACACTGTGTGCAGCCTACAGCCTCCCTCCTCCCAGGATGGCCACTGCCCAAGCACACAGGGAGCAAAAGCCTACCACCATGAAGTGAGTCCGACAGGGCACGGTCAGTTCCTGACCACAGGACGGGGCACAGCAGCTGCGGCCAGGAAGCACAGCTGTGGCTTGTGCCTAGGCCGGCGCCTATGAAGGTGGAGGCTATCAGAAGGACTGCCAGTCCCAGGTGGCCCTGAAGTGGGGGGGGACCAGGCTGCCCCCAACTCCCCTGGGCCCAAGGCCCTGTGTGCCCGAGAGGCCTGCGGAGGGTGGGTGCAGAGCCAGGGGCACAGACGGCCTCTCCAGTACCTATGGTCAGTGTGCATCCCTCTCTAATAACCTTTACTATAAATGATGAGTTCAAATTGGTAAAACCCTGCCATGTACTCACATGCAGCATGTGCAGCAGGAAAACAAACACTCAAACTCCTGAAAAAATCTTAAAATCCCTCCTGCAATGAGCTTCTCCAGGAAAATCAACAGCCCACGGTCTTCCCTCCAGGATTCCTTTTATGCCGTAGGCAACAACTCTCAGGTGGGTCTCGCAGGCCCAGAACGTGCTGACTCATTCAGCCGGGCGTTCCAGGCTGCCCATCAGTCTACAGTCCACTCCGTCAACTCCATAACGGACAGTTCCTCAGACCAGCCTCCAGCGGCAGATCTGGGCAAAGCTAACATACCTCGATCTAGTCAGATTTACATGAATTATTATAACAATTCTTACTGCACTCGTTTCCACATTATGGCTTCAAATTGTAGTACTCCTTGGGTCTCCATTTATGTACTTAAAAATAGTATTGTACACATCAACATCACTACATTAAAACATAATAGGGGAGCGCTGTTACAATCACAGTCCCCGCTTCCCATGAACTGTCAACAGGTGTAGCAACCCTGAAAGACTTCGCCAGGGATCTCCTACATTCCAAACACACTCTTCCTTTCTGTAAAAGGCCTCAGGTCACTTTTCCATTATCCTGTTTCTTCTCAGCAACAACGGTTCTCCTCTTTCATCCTTGCAACCCTCAGCTCCACTGGAGCCTCTCCTCTGGCCAAACCCTTCAAATCACCCTGCTGGTTCCCCACTCTTAATTTGCAAAACAGATCTGGTCAAAAGCCCTCAGCAGTAGCCATGCCACCAGCCCAACGCTACACAGCATTGAAATTTTTCTGCCACCCAGGCAATGTCTCCAAGCACAAGCAAAGTGCAGACCAACTTCGTGCCAAAGCACAACACATACTGCCTGGGTCTAGGAGTCAGTGCAGTCCCAGCAGAGGACTCCTGAGCCTCATCCCACCAGCTGCATTTCCAAAGTACTCTGTTTTCCAGGCTCCCACCAGAGTCTCCCATTCAGCTTAGGGCATACCAGGGCTGCCTCTTCAGCCAGTCTCTCGAAACCTTTCCAAATTAACTCTCAAGGCTCCTAAGCCATATGGCCAGGCAACGTCACAACAATGACCCCAGTCCAGGTGCCCATTCCATTGTTGTCAAGGTTTGCAAGGGAACAGATTTAATACAGGACAGATTAACTTATGGGATTATTTTAAAATATTCACCTAAAAAGTCAAATGCAGAAGAATGCGTGAGATCTGACCGCACACTAGAGACCCGAGCTCCCCCTCTGACAGAGCAACCAAAACTCCCATGGCGCCCGGCGAGCTTCTCCAGGAAAACCAGCAGCATACGATCTTCCCCTCTTCCCTTACTTCTCTTTTTATGCCGTTGGAAACTATCCTCAGGTGGGTCTTCCGCACTCAGAACCATGCTGACTCAGTTCAGCTGGGCGTTCCAGGTTGACCATTAGTCACCACACAGCAGGAGGAGGAGGGGGAAGAGGAGAGTCCAAAGTCAGAAGACTGGCTACACTGACCAAGAGAGAAGAGGACCATATAGTGGCCCACCTTGATTTCTGGAATCCAGCAGAGCGCTCGTGAGAACTGAAATTAATTTCTTAGGCCTAGCCTGGTTGGGAGCCTCCTACGGGTTTTGAGACATCAGCTGAACTCCAACCACACTCTTCTGTGTCTATCCTGGGACAAACAAGTCATACTGAGCACCAAGCCTCTCTGACAAGTGTCCACTCAGTCAGGTCTAACACCTCTGCAGCAAAGCAAAGGTCCCACAACCCAAGAGGATTTCTTTATATTTCTTTGTAGCGGTGTTTTCATATTTTTTAAATATGTTAGGTCTCCAAAAACAAGTTCCAGCTTTAGGAGCTTAGAGGTCAAGGTGGCCTGATTAAACATTCCTCTTGTGCAGGTCAAAGAGAAAACCAGAAATCAGAACAAGAGCTGAGGATGGACAGAGGGTGAACGGAGGCAAGTGAGGCCGGGAGGAGGGAGGAAGAGGGAGGACACAGATCCGGAGGGCTGAGCTCGGGGCAGGTCCATGGGTGCTCCAGTGTCCCCCAAATGCTCGTGTGAACGAGGGGGGCTTTTCAGAGGCGGCTGGATCTACAACGTGTGATGCTGGGATTAAGGGCGTATGACTACTGAACCTGTCCACTGGTTGGTCTGGCACTGAGTAGTCTGGATAAAAGGGGCAGGAAGAGGCTGCTGAGGTTCCCTTGTTGCTTTTGCTGGATTCTGCCACCATGAATTGTTGCCTCTGCCGTGTGCCTGCCTGCCCTGGAGCCAGAAGACCATGGACTGAAACCTCTATAAACTGTGGGCTAAATAAACCCTTTCCCCTTTAACTTTGGGTGTTGGGTATTTTGCCTAGGCCACAAGAGAAAAGTGACTAAGACAGGTGTCCAGCACAGGCCCGTTCTCCCTGGCCTGGGCCTGGCACTTTGTGCAGTGGACACAAACAGACTGAGCATGTGCGATCACTGCTGAGCACAGTGTTGGCCCAGGGACTCTGGGCCAGCAACCCTCAACCCTGCACCTGTCAGCCCCAGACCTCCAGGACCGCACGCCTCCCCACAGGACTGGCAGGTGCTCCTTGATTCCTCGGGCACACAGGTCAGGGCAGCCCTCCCAATACCACACTTGCACCAGAGCCACAGGGACTCCTGACAGCCCAGACCCACCACATGGGAACCTGACGGGCTGTGGGACAGGAGGCACACGGTGCTGAGGGCGCTGGGTGGCCATCGTGAGCTTGTGCGGTTTGGGGAGCAGAGCAGGGCTGGTCTCCAGGAGGCGCCCTGTACCATGTACCAGGGCTGATTCTATGATCAGTCAGCCTTTTTTTTGCAAGTTAATTTATTATTCTTTATATTTTGTATTTTCCTTATTATTCTGTATTATATTACAGTATTACAATAATTTTTCTATGAATATTTTTGGGTTGTGAAATAAATCATCTGAGTTTCCAGTTTTTTTAAAAAATCATCTTAGACTCTCATCCTCTCAGGGCAGAAGGAACAAGATAAACAAATAACTTTTTTAAAATCACCAGTTTAAGGCACCCAAAATAATCTACACATCAAAATTAATATACTTTCAAAGTTAAACCATGTATATTTAAAACACAAAGACTACAAATATCTACACAGGGGTCTATGTAAACACCTTGCAAAGTAATATGCAGACACCTCTAGGATCATTCTTCCTTTTATGTCATCTACCTTACCAATACCTTTTGGTCTTACAGAAAATAGATTATTTTGAAAAAACTTTAAAATGAATAATCTCCTTTGCACACAACTGTCACTCCCTGGAGAATCTGTAGAAAAAGCAGCCCACGCCTGCTCCAAGGCACCAGCTGGGGAGTACCGACCCCTGGGTCACAGTCAGACAGACACAGCAGATCAGGAGTCAGCTGGAAAGGGTGAGGCCAGGCGAGCTGGGTGGTGCAGAAAGGAGCTGGGGACAGAGCAGGCAGCGAGAGCAGGCAGCACAAGAAGAGGTAAGGCCGCCACGGAGCTGCTGCAGGCAGGCAGAGAGAACAGGGCACCAAGGCACACGGGCCAGGCGAGCCTCTGGAACCCCTGGCTGAGACTTCCACAGTCCACAAGAAATCTTGGCCAAAAGTACGTGCTGAGGTTATTAATTCCCTTAGCATCCAGCAGAGCTAAAAGCAAACCAGAAATATCCCACCACCCTGACTAGCAGAGCCAGTGGCCTGGTGGTCGGCTCCCGGCCTCTCCTTCCCTGCTCTGACCAAACTCCTCCTGCCACCAGTGGGCCCCAGCGGCTCTCATCTGGAACTTCCCACGGCACCTCAATGAACCAGGCTTTGCCTCTCAGGTGCCAGGCCGGTGCCTTACCCTAACAACTTTAAACCAAAGGGGCGGCATCTTCTGGGAGTTTATAAAGTATTTCAAGTATTCACTATTCCAATCTATCAGTTCTGCAAAGTTTAAGGGGCCAGTTCTGTGCCGGTTTGTTTCTATCCCCAAATGCAGTTTCACAGTAGATATGTCTGAAGGCAAAGGCAGAACCAGATGAATTCCTAAGACTCTCAGCACCTCTGCACTCATGAGACTTACCATCAGTAAGACTTAGCTTCGTTTTCAACCCTGGAATCAAAGTTCTTTCCTCTGAAAGCTCTTAGATAATGGTATTTTATGGCTTTCAGGAGATGAAGTGAGGAAGAGAATATAAGAAGCTAGATGTGAAACACGGATATCAAATAGCAGAAATGAAAGAACAGAGTAATATCCACTATTTTTATTTTTAATGGAGCCCACATCCTCTTCACGAACCCGAGAGGCCTCTACACTGCAGAGTGGTGGGAGCCTGAGCAAGGTTTCAGGAAAGATAATGGAGCTTTCATGATGGAAACAGTAAGAAAATTAAATCTAATCTTGTTCCATTAAGCACACTCTTAGCTCCCATTTTTAGTAAATTATTTTATTATGATTTTGCCTCTGTCTATTGAAATAACCTTTTATGGCAATTTGATTTGCAAGCACAAATAAGTCTCATTTCTTTCCACTGTGAAGCCCTATGGGATTAATAAGAAGAGATGGATCATCCGAAATCTCACCCATTCTGCAATCAGGAAGGAGTCATTCAGGGAGATGAATGCTTTATTTTATATTTACATTTGTAAGCAAAGTATTACACCACAATGACGGTCTCATTTAACAGTAACATATCACCTGCTTGAGAGAAGCTCTTCAATCAGGCAGCTCCTCCAGTGTCAGCCTTGACAGGGCGGCTGGAATCGCACCAGCTTCCTGTACAATGTCCACGCCTGGCCACCTCCCTGCCGACTGTGACCCCTGGGCTCATCCATGGACTTCTGTGGTGGTTGGGCTGCTTTCTTATTATGGCCCAGACCCACAGGGCCATTCGCCTCTAGCAGGAAGCTCCTGCACGGCCCTGAGATGTGAGCCCTTAGGTGCCACCTCTCAAGGGCACACACGTGGGGCACCGCCACACAGGCCCGGAGTGACCCAGAGCCCTACCACAACACAGTGTCCGCCGGGAATGTCAAGAGGAGATGCGCCACAGCCTGTGTTCACTAATTAAAGGGCCTCTGCACAAATCCTGATGAAATCTATTAGAAACTAGAGGACTTAATCGGGAAAATCTCATTTGAAAAGAATTTTATCCAGGGGAGGAGAAGAGATGGAGAAAAGATAAATAATGATCAGTCCAAAGAAAGACAGAAATATCATAAAGGATAAACTAAAGAAACAAATCTCAGCTACAGATCAAAACATTTAATAAAGAAATAATAATTATTAATATTAATAATGATAATTAACCCATAATGTGGTAACAACTGGATCAGGAGAGAAACACAGAGGGACACACTGATATCCAGGCACTTTGTTCATCTCAGTCTGACACAGGAAGAGGAAAATCACTAAAGATTAAAAGCAAGAGTTGTAAACAACACACTCATCAGAGTTCTCTTACAGATGTACAGATGTCAAATTCTGAGATCTACGAACAGCAGGCAGGAGTCACTTGAAGTGCAGAGAATTTATGAAAAAAATCACATAGCAAAAACTGTTACGGAATTGATCATGTTAAAGTACGCTGTGACGCCGCCTCACAGGCTGCATTCTCCTGGTACCTCTTGGCTCCTAAAATGACCTCATGCCCTTATCTCTGGTTTGCCTCCCCACCAAGGCCACAGTGGTCCAGGAAGTTGAAACCTGTGTCTGCAGGACTGAGCCCATAAAAACAATCTGGCCCGTGATAGGTTAAAACTATCCCACTCCTCATAAATAAGCAATAGCCCACCCCCAAACTGATAAAAGGACCTTCCTTTCTTTGTTCTCTCTCTCCTTCTGCTTCTTCTTCCTCCTCTCTCTCTCTCTCTCTGCCTTCCTGCCTACTGCTCACCTCCCTACAATAAAGATCTCTTGCCAGACCTCTCGGTGCGTGAGTGGCCTAATTGGGCAAGGGGCACCCAAAGGGGGCTCGAGACCCCTTTCAGCCGTGACAGAAACCCAGGGAGCAAAGTGCAGGCCAAAGCCACCCTGGAGCTGAGGACACTTGCAACAGGGACAGTGGAAGGGGAAGTGGGAGGGGAAGCTTTGCTTAGTGGGAAGCTGAGCAGGAAACCAAGAAGGCGCCCGGGCCACTGAGCCTAGGCTCAAAGTCTGCTTGAGTAGCAGCAAAGGCACTGAGAACGGAGGTAGTGGGTGCTGAGTGGGAGCCCCGGGCCTGGAGGCCAAGTCTGGAGGAACTCCAGTCCCTCCAAGTTCCTGGAGGAACCCTGCAGCCAGCAAGCAAGGTCAGCAGCACTACAGCTGCTCTGGGTGCAGCGACAACAAACATGGTGCTCACTGGAGATGGTACCCAGTGTGCGCCCATTTAAGGGGAGCCAGAAACCCGAGGGAGTAAGAGGAAGCACGCCAAGGAGAAAACCCCAGCAGTCTAGAGAGACTAAGGCGGGAAGATTGAAAGTTTGAGCCTAGCCTGGGCAACTTAGGGACTTAGCGAGAATCTGTCTCAAAATAAAAAGGGCTGGGACGTAGCTCAGTGCAAAGGACCTCAGTTCAATCTCCAGTACTGAAAAGGAAGAGGAGAAAGACAGCACCGAAATCTGGTCTCAAGAAATTTAGGTCGGAGGGCAATGAGAAAGTGCGTATGCACCCAGCATGTCCCGAGGGAGACGGACATGGTCTCAGCCTGGGGGCATCAGGTCAGGATGGGAGACAGGGACTGTTGCAGGGACGCTCATGGCTCACGGTCGCTGCACAGAGACAGCCTCAAAGTGACAGGGCACCAGCCAACGCTGTGTGTCCTCTAGGAGGAGGCTCACGTCACAGGTGCTGGGCAGGAGGAGGAGCGTGCTGAGACGTGGGCACGTGCTCAAAGGTGAGCTGGGGTGCGCTCAAGGGCAGCTGACACAGGGACCACAGTCTGCCCTGCAAAAGCAGGGAGGAAGCCACAGGGCTCTGAAGGCAGAGAGAGCAGCTGGGCCAGGCTGGAGCCCCTGGAGGGAACCACCCACCCCTGAGAGGAAAGACGGGGGCTGTGAGGGAGAGCAATAGGCAGCACAGGGTCAGGACAGGAGGCCTGAGTGTGGGAGCAGAAGGCACAGGG